TGTTCAATGGCCATAAGTGCCAAGTATATATAGGAAAAAAAATTGCAGCTCTCCACAGGCAAGTGGTGGCATCACCATATAAGTGAAATATTCTCGAGAGGGAAGTTAAACAACATACAATCAATCAATCCAGGGGCAGATCCAGCAATTTTTGAAAGGGGGGGTTCCAGGGTTGTGTCCCTCTAACCCCCCTCCCCTCTACACACTCAAGCAAAGATTCACACACATGTATTGAAAGTTCTAATGTGGTAAATAATATCTTTGTTTACATCCCTTTTTTCTTTGAAAAGGTACCTCAAATCCGAATAAAAAAACAAACTTTGTTCAAAAACTACTGAAGCCTTATAAAATTGAATGGATCTGCAGCATTTCCAAATTAGAGTAAAAAGAATTTTCGTTTTAGAATTTGAAAAAACGTTTTTGGGGTAAGATGCGGATGGGATTTAAAACAAAAAGAATTGCATGTTAGTTCCTTCAAAAGATATGATAAAAAGGGTACATATATAGCCAACACAGCCAAAGACTCGCGGGAATTTTATATCAAATTAATCCTCGCATGACACATAATCATATCATGTAAATAAGGTATATAAATATAAATAAGTAGAATATTTTCTACCATGCATTCGCTCATAAAAAAAGTAATAATGAAGGTGAATGGAGGAAAGTAAATGTGTGGGAATCTATCTATTCAATACATACGTTAGACGTACAAATATTTTTTTCTCAGATAACGTTTTATCTCTCTCTCTCTCTCTCTCTCTTTCTCTCCACTTGGCAAAAAATAAAGGGGGGGTCCAACTCCCGGAACCCCCCCCCCCCCCCCTGGATCCGCCAATGCAATCTTTCATATAATTTTTTTATCCATTCTACACAGGAAAGGAACTTTAAAAATGAAAACAAGAGCTTGTAGTGTATATAACAGTTTATTCATAAAATAAATGATATCAGATCACAAAAAATGACAGACACCCACTCAAAAAAGCATATATTCCCAAAAATGTGATATTATTCTTGTATCTAATTTGTAAAAGAAGGATAACTCTTACAACAAGAATGTACCAGATTAATCACAAAAATATTTCATACAGACACAGGCCTTTAAAAAGCATGAATGTATTGATGCACCCAAACACTCTTTCAAAATATATTTAATAAAAGACTTGCAAAGTATTATAATACTTCACAAAAATGCTCCCGTGTACAAAAAAAATTCCAAAAATATTGATATTTTGTTGGAATTATATTTTTATGTTCAGTCTGGCTTGAGACATATGTGGTTCTTATTCAAAATGTAAACTCTAGCATACACAATGTTGCAATAAGGTATAATTTTATCAGGTAGTGAGAAAAAAAATGGTACACTGTAAAACGCATACAAGTGTAATCTAAAAAGATTTAATTCTTTCATTCTCTAGTGAAATTGAGAAATGGAAGCAAAAGCTGCAATACATTCATGTCCTTTACAAAAATCACTTTGAATTGTGATTTTGATATTTAGGGGGGAAAATGATTGTCAACTGAAATATACAAGAATAGTAAATGAAAACTTGCACATTAATAAACCTAGACTAAGACTATAAAAGAACTTGTATGATATTTTGATGTATATATGTAAATGTGACATGAAAGAGTTCGTTTGTAAAAGAAATACTGACTTTTAAAAATTCATTTTTTTTTTTTACTTTTTTTTAAAGAGCATTTTTGCTTCACAGGGAGGTCTCTGGAATAACTGAAATACTGGAAAATTTAAGATATGAAAATAAATTTAAATAAACACTAACATTTTTCAATGTTGGACATTATTACTAGTGATTTAAAAAAATAATCTTAACAAGTGCAAAACAAGGACATAATAAATATTACACATAAAAACTTAAAAATAAACTCTTACAATTAACCTATCTTTCTGTACTATAAAAAACTCTTGCCTTTTAATTCATTAAATATAGGCTTTAATTTTAGGACATTATAGTATTTAGATTTTCATTAAAATTGCTTCATAGCATCTTCTGATTGCAGAGTTATAGGAAATTTCTTCTACAATGATTGATTAAATATAAACAAAAGACATTAGTATAAGTTCATTGAATTTTCATATATACCGTAAATCACTTTTTTTTCACGAGAACTTTATTTACTCATAATAACGCAAAGCAATGTGCTCGCAAAAATTTCATTCTCGGGTATAAAAGTATTCCTTACAATTACATGTATATAGAGGAATAACAACAATTTATGAAAATTTTGTCTCGCTAATAAAGAGTCATCGACTATCTTGCAAAAATAAGGTGTCCCTAAAATTTAATGATCTACAGTACATGAATAACCCTAAAGTACATCCTTTGAACCATCAATACTTTTGATTGCTTATAAACACTGAACCCGGTGAATTACTGTAAAAATATTCCAAAGTTATGTACTCTATTAAGGACAATTTAATAATTGATTGTTAAACAAATTTCTATGCATGTTTGATGCATTTCTTATATTATGACTGCCAAAAAACCCCACTAAGAATGAAATTTAGCTTTAAGCTAAGAGAGTCTACTTAGTACAGTATATAAATATCGATATATCAAAACAAGATGACGTACAAAAAAAATGCACACAAAAATAGAGGAGAAAATACAGATACAATCAACATTTAAAATCTGGATATAGAAAGTCATACATAACATACAGAAGACTGAAAAAGAAAAAAAACAAAGATTGAAAAAAAGTCCAATAATAAGTTAACAAAGTTGAATATAATGAATCAAAGATAATCATAAATAAAACAAAGAAAAAAACGAAAATAGAAAATCAACAGATTGACTAGTTTGTTTGCTATCCTCTAAATAGTTTGAATATATTAGAAACAAATGGAAGCTGACTAAGAAATAAATATTCTAACTAGTTATTACACCTTATCATTTTATATACATGACTCATCACATCCTTTTTACACAAAAAACAAGATATAGATTTTTCATTTGTTTTACACAGCATAACACCTTTTTTTTCAAGATGGAATAAAGTTTGTCAAACAAGAATAAAAGACAAATTTAGCAAGCTCTCAATGCATAATTTAAAGAGTGATGTCCCTTTGCTAAATTTTAGTTTCCTTAAGGTTTACTGTCCCCCCCCTTGAAAAGAGGAATAACTCTCACTGAATTAATGTCTACAATACCTTAAAAATTACCTAGTTAAAAGAGAGGTTATTATGTCAAATTTTGCAAAGCTACATGTGCTGAAATTGATTGGCAATGCATTTCAATAATATTGAGATATAGGGTGGGATTGATTCAAGTTTCACAGGAGTGAAAAAAGGGAAAATGAAAATGTGCACTATTTTGATTGAATTCGTTTAAATCATATTTCATTTCAATTTCATTTTGCTCTTCTAAAACAGTAATAATATAAAAAAAAAAAAAAAAAACGATTTCCAGTTTATGGAGCAGAGGACCACCCTTACACAAAAATTACTTATTTTGAAACATTGGAAACCTCTTAGGCATTGCAACTTCTGTTAATTTATGGAAAATATTTGTTAGAACACTATAAATTTACAATTTTACTTTGAAATTAATAACTTTTTTTCCTGAACCTTCTCAATTTCTATACTAAATAAATTATCTCGTAAAAAATCTTTGGTATACATGTATAGGTATATTCTTTGAGAACTAATTCAAAGTTTTACAAGTTTCTAATAAAAGGCATAGTAGAAGAAAGAATATTCCAGCAGGAACATTTGTATAGTGGTAGGTGATGAAGAGATGAACAAACAGTAGTAATATATGTTCACTGTATTTGACAGTTTTTCATATACATCCAAATGTCAAAATTGTATATACATCTCTCCATTTTTCCAATTACATTTAAGTCTGAAAATAAATTCTCTCCTAAAGATCCCCCCTCCAAGAAAAAATCTTTACGTGATACATGTATAAGATTTGTAAAAAGTAAAACTTTGGAGAACTATATATGGGAAGTAAAATCTACAATTTCTCCAATATCTGGAAGTCTGCAATTTAGGGGATGGGTTAAAAGGGGAGTGGTGGTGTTACATTTTGAATCTGTTTAGACTGAAGCATCTTTGTCTATGCATCTGTAAATTTAATGAAGATTTTTTTCAGGGTGATTTGCAGGTTTGAAAATTAGTAAGCCACAACAGTGTAAAAATTAATCCATCTTTTTGTAGCAAAATGGACAATGCCTTGTTAAACAGTTCTCTATATTCTTTGTCTAAGCTAAACAAGTATGCTTATTGTTTCTTTCATAAAAGCAACTGTAGATACAAAATAAATAAATTTACTTAAATTTTGAAAAGTGTGACTATTAATTATTATATACAGGCTAATTAAAAATATAACATTGTATACAAAAAAAGATCAAATCTGTGGAATGCATGATGGCAAAAATAATTGTAAAAAAAAGATTCCTTAAACTGCAAAAGGTTTCCTCTACTCTTAATATATTCTACAAAGTGATTTGAAAGAAATAAAAGTAATTCTATGTACTTTCTTTACATGATTACACATACAATCAAAATCTTCCATAATTATGTTTAAAAGCAAATAAGTTATGTACACAAAAATAATGCAATTTTTTATTAAACATGTTAAAGCTGAAATAAACATTGATCTTGATTAAATTGAGGTACTATTGGAGGTATCTACTGACTTTTTTTTTGGTTGAAAATAAATACGTAACAGTCAAACCTACTGTGCATTTCTCACTATACAATACAATTTCATGTTACATCTAAAACATATTCTACCAAGGATTCTTTTTCTCTGCCAAACTTTTGAAATAACCTTTCTTATTTCTTAACGCCATATTAAAAATGTTTATCAGGATTTGTTGAGTTTTCCTCATGTCTTCATAAATTTGTTGATTGAGACTTCATTGATTTTTTTTATTAAACTTTTTGAAGCTGGTTCATTTTAATTTACTAGACACTTTTCTAAAATTCCAGTAAAAATGAACCGAAACAAACTTTTCACATTCATATATCTTTTAACTTTAATCATGGTTACCATAGCTACTATACATATGCAATTTTTATGCAAATTTTCTATACAGAAGTAAAATACCACAGGTTTGACTGTTATAATGAAGGTTTGATTTTTGAATTCTTTTGTTAATGAAAAAAATAAGTTAAATTACCTGTAAACAAAATAAACAGTTCACTTGTCCTTCTTCAATGACATTACATACATATATATACTTTGTGTATAGCAACATTGTGAGCATGATGCACATAAATCTACAGAGTATTGACTCTTGCTTGAAGCTTGACCACAACATAGAGGAGAATGCAGCTTTCAAACACTCAGATGACCAGGACTTGGATTGTCATTACCAGAATGAGGCTGACTTCACATGTATACACAACAAAGCTTTCGATTCTCTTGTGTTACATCAGGTGGGTATAACTTGTCCAGATAAAAAAAAAATTGAGTAAAGAGCCTACAATCCATCATAAAATGGTGCACCTTTTACTTCGTTTAGGGGGTTTGACTGGAGGACTTTCATTGGCTTGGAATCTCCTGCAATGAAAACAATTTTAAGTTATTATAACATCTAACTGAATCCCAAATGTTGTTGAACCTAAAATTTCATTATCTAAATATCTGCATAATCAATAAATTTTTTCTCATCTGATTTTCCCAATTCCTAAACAAGAATTTAGCTGAAAGGAGGACGCTTTAAACTAATGTTTCTTTGCCCTCTCCAAACTCAGGATTAAAAATTGATTTTGGTGAAAAAATCTATTTCTGAGAACATTTCAAAATCAATGCTGAATCTTCAATATCTAATTTAAAACAGTTTTGTTGAGCCTTTTGTATTCATTCAGAGAAGAGGATAACCATATTACATGTATATTTTAAACATGGCCTGATCAACATGTATATACTGTATAAGCAGAATTTTTAGCGAGGATTTAATTTTGACATTATTATCGAGGGTCTTGAAACTTCTTTAGTGAGCATTCTAAAATTGCTAAAATTACACCTTGCTAAAAGTAAAACACCAATTTTTACGGACAAATCACTAAATTTGCCTCCCGTTAAAATTTCCACTTATATGATAGAGAGATATCATTGGCATACCTTATAATTCTAACCAGATCATAAAAAGCTTTGTCTACATTCATCCGCACTTTGGCACTGGCTTCAATATAACTAATCTTTAACTGAGCAGCAAACTCCTGCCCCTCTTCTCTCGTAACCTACGGAGAAAATGAAAACATTTTGTAAATGACCCTCTTTTGTGAAGCATTCCAATCTAATTAGATTTTTATGAAACTTTTACAATGATATGGTAAAACTCGGTTAGTACGAACACGGATATTGCGAATTCATGGATACAGCAAAGTTATCTTGGATCCCAGCTATATAAATTAAATGAATTCTTTATACGGATATAACGAATTAAGGATATAGCGAAGTAATTTCATAGGTCCCAGTGAGTTTTACTGTATATATAGGGATCTTAACAGTGCATGTATTTAAAATTATCATAAAGATTGTATGATTGAGCTTTGATATCGCAAACATCTAGTGCATGTAGATCTTGGATATATATAGTTAGGTCAAAGTAAGTTGAAAATGCTTACCACCTTTTCTAATGCATATTAAACGAAATACCTTGAATCACCTGATTTCAAGTTCTTTTACTTAGTTCCAGGGAATTTGAGATTTTTAATGAGATTTAACTTTTTGCTTATTTCAGTACCCACAAAGACCCCTGGGTTTGATTTTCATAATGGTACATGTACCCAATAAATACAAATTTATGCAGCAACAAACAATATACAATTACGAACATCTATGTGGATGAAGGGGGAATTTTGTGAAAGAATTGAAGTAGAGAAATTTTATATTTCATGTGGAACTGCATAGGTTTCTCCATATCATGAAAACAACTAAATTTAAACCCTCATAAAAATAAGTAATTTCATAGAAAATACATATAAACCAGTGGATATGCTTAATACATGTATGATTCTATGGGTCAGTCAGTGGGTGTATAAACTTGAAAATGTCAATATTATTTTTATGAACATATTGTACTGAAGTTCAATTCTACTTTTAAAGAGATAACTCTGGTATGTTACAGGGGGAAGTCCATTTAAAAGCCATTAAATTATGACTTCATAATTCATTGATTTATTAAAAAAAATATCTGTCATCACAATGGAAAAAAATAAGTATTTTAATTTGTTGTCCTATAGAATTAGGAAATGTTGAATAATTAATTTCAAATATGGGAATTTTGCCTATCTATATTGCGAAAGCTATTAATGACAGTATTTTAAAATCAAGAATCACTCAAATATCATAGGCACATCTTTGGTAAATGTACATGACATGGAACCCAATGATTTTTATCATCATCAACATTCCCCCTTGGAGAAATCATGTACAAGTATACTATATATAGCTGCAGAACTGTATATTAGCCTTATGGTTTTATATATTTGTCTTTGACCTTAATGCTGCAGATCCCGTAATGCAAAAAAAGGGCAATTTATGGCGCAAGATTTTTTCCCCATTTTTGGGGAGAATTTCTCCACATTCCATTGGTTACTCAACTATCTTTCGCTCCCATATTATAGACACATTCATTATCCAATCTGTATTTTTTTTTATCCACCTCCCTACCCTTCGTAGTTGTCTCTGAAAATGATTATTGTGCTTGATTAGAATTGACTTTTAGATTGCTGAAAATTCACCTCAAGCGAGTTTGTCGCCTCTAGAGACAACTATAAAAGGTTAGGAGGTTGATAAAATTTGGTAAAAAATGTGTCTAGAATTAGGGAGTGAATGGTAGTTGATTGACCAATGCTGGAATGTGGTGAAATTCTCCCCAAAAGTGCGCAAAAATTCTTGTGCTATAAATTGCACCTTTTTTGCATTACGGGATCTGTAGCGTTATGGTCAAAGACAAATATATAAGACCATTAAACTACAGTTCTGCAGCTAAACTAAATATTGCTGCTGCTTTTAGTTTTAATCATATAAAATTTTAATTTTTGCAACTAACAGGAACCATTAGACAGCTGCATTTCTGCAGCTATCCAACAGAATTAAAGATAACTACTAACCACCCGTGAGTGTTCTAGATCCGCCTTGTTGGCTACCAGTATCATTGGAAATTCTTCTCTGTCTTTTACTCGTAAAATCTGTTTGTGGAATTTGTATGCTTCATTAAAACTGAAATAAAACAGAGAGATTATAAATTAATATCATAATTAAATTATTTTCTTTTTTTAAAAAAAGATAAGCAAGGACATTGAAACTGAAAACAAATTAAGTCAAAATTTTATTATGAAATCTTTTGATTTAGTGGCTGAGACAAATGACAACGAAAAAGTTGGTATTCCCATGTTTACCAAGTATAATTTATTATATAACCACAGTGATACTATTTTAAAAGATCCTTGACTTGAAAATTGTTTTCTACTTCACCTTTCCTTATTGTATAAAACTATCGGTGTTTGAGTAATCTATTATAAAACATGCAATAATTATTTAATTCAAAAAAATATTCAAGTATTGTACATCACTAAATTTTTGACACACTTATTTTTTTTTTGGGGGGGGGGGGGGGGGGGGATTGACATTTATTCTTTATTAGCGAGGCAAAATTTTCACAATTTGAGGCAACTGCTCTATATATAACGTTGAGGAAAATTGATACTAATATACATGAAAATGATATTTTTGTGAGCACACTGTCTTGCCTAATCATGTGAAATTAAGGTCTCACAAATTAACAGTGTTCCCAACAATTATGACCATTGAAAGTCTATATCAATATAAGATGGTTTCACTATCATATGCCTTTTGAGACATATTCGTGTCTTGGCTTTCTAGAAAAAGTGTGAACAGGTGAAGAAAAAATTAAGCACATCTTCTCATGACAACATGCACTGGATAAAGTTTTCTACAACACCAACAATGCATGGTACATCTAACGTATGTGACAGTTGTGTAATTGTTGTGTCAGTGTTGCGCTGTCACATCTTCAGTTTTCAATCAAACTATAAGTACGAGGAACCATCTACTTCCCTAACCGTTGAGCCGTTAATCAAATTCTCTACTTTTTTTTCGATTGTGACAGCTTTTGATAATGGTTATATAAAATAATACACTTATTAAAATGTTTTTGCTATATCTCATTACAAAAAAATCAGATATATATAATGCATACTGCATTGCCTCATATGGGATGCAATGTCATGTCATTGTTCAATAATTCCAAAAAAATCATTTTCCATGATATCCCCCCTCCCATTTCCATCTTAGCACTAGGAGACCTTTGTTGTTATTCTCAAAAAGCTGTACAAATAAAAGCATCAAGCTTAATCTTTGTTATATGCTCAAATGACCTTGATGTAAGTGTATTTCATAACTTCATACAAAATCTAACTGTTCAAAGTCCAACAATGCTTCTCAATCTACGTTCATTTTTTTCTTTATCTCTTTGTAGGACACTTAACTTATCATACAATGCAGGCATGGTACCCCCTCTAATCCTTTAGAAACCATATCTCATGATCTTGCGGGGAGAGATATCTGTCCCTGTGTATCTAAAATGGCAAACTTGAGATACCGGGAGGATTGAGCTCAGAAAATGATAAACACTGCTCCTATATGAGTATATCGCCAATTCTCAGTTTATTATGTTCCCCAAATGAAGTTGGGGAACATATTGTTTTTACTCTGTTTCTTATTATTATTAAGGTCTTCCGTTTCAGACGGAAGACCTTATAGTGATTCTACTGTTTTTTCTTATTATTATTATTTTTTTTCCCAAATCTTGTCGGCAGGATTTCTCAGAGATGGCTGGACGGATTTTCCTGAAATTTTCAGGGATGATAGAGAATAAAAATACCCCGAGACGTTTTTTTCATTTTTTCAAAATTCACTTCCGGTCGTCAGATTTGTCCGATTTCCGCTTTTTTGAAAAATATCTAATCCGAGTGAGATCTCAGAAACGGCAAGAGATTAAGGCACCAAACTTACAGGGTTGATAGACCTTAATAAGTAGGCAAATCCGTTTGGGTTAAGATCGTCCGCCGTCACTTCCGGTCGTCACAGGAAGTGATCAAAGAAATCGAAAATTTCAACTTTTCTTTTATGAAACTTTTTTTGCATCAGATAACAACATCTTATTTGTAGTTTCGAAATATATCAGTCTCACCGGAAGTAAAAACGACAACTTCCGGTTATGATAGAAAAACTGCATATTTTCAGTATTTTTTCTTTCCCATAAATATTTTTTATAGATAAAGTATTTGTAATGATTTTTTGATATGTTATTTAGACTGCAACTGTCTACAGTAACGTCAAATATCTTTGTAAAATTCACTTCCGGTCACGTGATTTCCTGTCCTCAAAATGAGAAGTTATCATAGCTAGATCTCGTAAACGATAAGAGATTAAGGCACCACAGTTATATAAGTGGTAGATCTTGATAAGTAGGCAAGTTCAGTTGGGATACGATCGTCTGCCGTCACTTCCGGTCGTCAGAGGAAGTGATCCAAAAATCAAAATTTTTAACTTTTCTTGCGTGAAACATTTTTTGCATCACATTATAACATCTTATTTGTATTTTTGAAATATATCAGTCCCACCGGAAACTAAAACGACAACTTCCGGTTATAAGAGAAAAGCTACATAATTTGTGTATTTTTCTTTCCCATAAATATTTTTTATACATAAAGTATTTGTAGTGATTTTTAGATATGTTATATAGACTGCTTATGTCTACAGTAACCTCAACTATCTTTGTAAAATTCACTTCCGGTCGCGTGATTTTCTGTCCTCAATATGAGAAGTTATCACAAAGAGATCTCGGAAACGGTGAGAGATGGCGACGCCAAACTTGAATGAGTAATAGATCTTGATTAAGTAAGGAAACTCATAAGGGTTAAGATCGTTCGCCGTCATTTCCGGTCGTCACAGGAAGTGATCAAAGAAATCAGAAATTTCAGCTTTTCTTTTTGGAATACTTCTCGGCATCACATTATTGCATCTTATTGGTTGTTCTGATATATATCCGTCCCAACAGAAACAAAAACGGCAACTTCCGGTTATGAGAGAAAAACTGCATAAATTGAGTATCATACTATCCCATAAATATCTTTTATAGAAAGAGTATTTGAAATGATTTTAGAACATGTAATTCAGACTGCAAATGTCTAGAGTAACTACAAATATCTGTTAAAAATTGATTTCCAGTCTCATGATTTCCTATCCTCAAACTGAGTAGTTAACATAGCCAGATCTTGGTTATGGTAACACATCAAAACACTTAACTTATATGAATAATAAACCTTGAAGAGTGAACAACAGAAATAGGGATAAATGTCTCCGCCGTCACTTGGGGTCATCACAGGATGTGATTTGAAAAATCGAAAAATCCAACTTTTTTCTTTCCAATTTTTTTTTCATTACTTTATTGCATCTAATTAGTAGTTTTGAAATATGTCAGCTCCACCAAAAATAAATAAAAAAAATAAAAACAACGAAAACTTCCAATTATAAGAAATAAAAAACACCAAAGGTGAAAAAGTCAAGGTCATTGGAAAAGTATTTAAATTGCTTATATATGCCACATAACCTTGACCTTTGAGTTTGATGGTTGACCTTGACCTTTGACTTTGACCCTTACCCAAGATTTATTTTTTTTATATTTAGCTTGATACAGCTTCAAGTGTTAAAGTCGAGTTAAAAAGGATTTTGAATGACCTTGACCTTTGACCTCGATAAATGACCTTGACCTTTGACCCCATTGACCCAAAGGTCACAATCAAGCTTGAGTCCGTGGGGATGTTTACATCTCTCACTTTAACAAATGCTTATATAACCCCCCATTTTTTTCTTTTTCTTTTTTTTTGTAAATCAATAGGAACCTAGAAAAATTTTCTACAGTTCAAACGACGCCACAGATCGACATGAAATTTAAGGATTGCAGTAGAAGACACATCAAAGAAAGTGTCCTGAGTGTTTAACAGTGAGTCTCTGAAGTATATAATGAAATTCTAATGAGTATCGGCAACAACTATATTTTTTTTCTGTCTGAAATTTAGGTGCTGATGAACATGAAAATTAATTAAAGCTTGCATTGGGTATTTCTTCACTTTTTGTCAATAACATTCGATTCTCCTGCTCAAATACGAAATTTTAATACCAAGTATTCTTGATCTCCTTTGTATGTAGAGTTTATTTAAATTTTATTTACATTGAATATTAATTGAATGAATCTAGGAAATAGCGATTTTTCCCTACCAAATCAATTTCTACGCAATTTAGATAGCTTAGATAAAATGGAGTTACCTCGCTTTGAACAACGTGGTGTAGAGAAAATGTCCATGACTCACAACTGCATGAGATGTTTTGACCTATGACCTTGAAGAGTAGGTCAAGGTCATTGGAAAACTAAAGAAATTGTCGATTTAAGCTTAAAATCCAAATGACCTTGACCTTTGACCTTGACCTTTGACCCCTTACTCAAAAAGTAATAAAGAAATATTCATTACCTTTATCTAGATTCAGCTTCAAGTGTTAATCTCAAGTTTATCTCTCTCTTTTTTGGATGACCTTGACCTTGATAAATGACCCCCTATTGATCCAAAGGTCACAATCAAGTTTAATGTCGTTGAAGTATTTGCAACTCTTACTCTAACAAATGCTTATATCCCCCCCCCTCCTTTCTTAAAAAAAAAAAAATCAACAGCAGTATGGAGAAAATGTCTACAAGTCAAACGACACAATATATTGACATAAGATTCGAAGTAAAAGCAAGAAAAGATCTTCAAGAAAGTGTCCTGAGAGTTTTAAGGTGAGTCTCTAAAATATAATGAAATTCTAGGGAAAATCGGCAAAATCTGCATTTTTTTTCTGTCTGAAATTTTGTATTGCTGAGCATAAAAATTAATTAAAGCCCGTATTGGCTATTTTTGCAATTTTTGTTAATATCATTCGAATCTCCTGCTCTATTGCGACATTTTAATACCAAGTACTCTTGCTTTCTTTAGTGTATGGAATTTATTTCAATTTTATTCGGATTTAATATTAATAGAATGAATCCTGATTTCATTTGAAATTTGATTTTTTTTTCTAGAATAACACAATCCCAAGAAATAGGCATAGTAATAAAGTGCCGCGCCACAGCATGATACGCCCGTCAAAAAATTACACAATTTTCTTGAACAGTTTAGGTGCA